ATAGTATTAGACAGAGTCATTAATATGAATATGAAAATATCCATGAACAAATGCCAGTTTGGATTTGCAGAACTGAAAGCCTTAGGACATATAGTTTCAGGACTTAGCATAGCTATTGATAAAAATAAAGTAGCAGCTGTGTTACTCAAACCTATGCCTAGTAATGTGAAAGAACTACAATATTTTCTTGGCTTTGCAGGACATTACAGACAACATATTAAAGATTTTGCCAAAGTTAGTGGAAGTCTTTATAAAATTACCAGTCCCAATACTGCATTTGAAATGACAACTGAAAGAGTGGAAGCATATCAGAAACTGAGAGACTTACTTACCTCTGCACCAATTCTTTTTATGCCTGATCCATCAAGAAGTTTCAAACTGTATGTGTTGAAATCTGAGCCCCAAGGGACTTGGACTTATCCCTCTAACCTCAAAAGACTACTAAAATAACCATGACATCATTCTCACTGAAACTCTCGCACTGTTCTCAAAACACGCTCGGCCCTTCTCATCCTCACCAAGAACTCGAACGACCAAAGCGTATCAAATCTTCTTTCGCGCTTCCATATAACCTCGCTTATCAAACCTTGGATTTTTTTCTCCCAGGCCAGGAACTTCCTGGGTTATCATCACAACCCAAACTCATCTACTTTCTATCATCATTAATATTCTACCGATAAATCTTTGTTCCTCCATTTGGCAAATCTTATAAGCCATCTTATCTTCTCAACAAGCTTGACTTGCACTCGAAGAAACTCATCTTCTCCATCATCGCTTCTTCTCTTCATCGTACAGCACTTCCCTTCCTCCAACACTTCGCCGATCAGACCAACGTGCTTCCCTTCCTTCTCGACCTATCGCCGATCATCATCTCAACGATTGGTCTTCCTGAGTGTAGTAGGTTATCGCACTTAAACATCTCTCTCTCTTTGTTACATGATCCAGACATTAACCGTTCTTCGTTTCTCTTAGTTGCTTCTTTTCTTATTGCTCTCTGCGTTTTGCGACTTGTTGTTCTTCATCATAAATCTATTGTTTGCCTTTAGGTTTGTTGAGAATCTCCTTTTTGTTTTGTTCATGTATTTCTTTTGTTCATCTTGCTCATAAAGAAATACATCCTTTATTTTGTTCATCAACAGTATGTAGATGCTAGTATGGAAGGACTGGGAGCAGCATTACACCAAATACAAGAACCAGATGGAATTCCCAAAGAAGGAGTAATATGTTATATATCCAGAACACTTAAAGACAGTGAGAAAAAATATGGTGCTAGTCAACTAGAATGCCTTTGTCTTGTCTGGGCATTAGATAAATTATATTACTACTTAGATGGTTGTACATTTGAAGTTATCACGGATTGTAATGCTCTGAAAAGTCTTCTGAACATGAAAACACCCAACAGACACATGTTATGTTGGCAAATAGCCATACAAGAATGGAGAAATAGTATGACAATTTCCCACAGAGCTGGAAATATTCATAAAAATGCTGATGGACTAAGTAGATGGTCCCTTGAAACAATGAGTTGAACCCAGCTTGGGATGGGGAAATTGCTGAAAAAATTATGTCTCTATTTCCAATGGAAAATTCTGTGGAAAACTATGGATTTGACAATAATGAGGATATCATTTGTGTCAATGGATTACATATAACAGGAATGGAAGAAGAATTCTGGGATGAAGTTAGGAAAAGTTATGATTCTAACAAAAACTTATCCACTCTAGAGTAGAAATTCTTCCAAGTAAATTCAAACCAAATGATTTGATTAACTCATTAGAAGAACCCTGGCTAACATCATTTAAAGAAGATAGATTTGCATTATATGATGGACTAATTTACCATAGAACCAAACATACCAGTGTTGTTACCATATGCTCACCTGAACACATTAACCTATTCCTGAGAGAATGCCATGATAATATTACATCAGCACACTTCTCTTATGACAGGACTATAGAAAGAATTAAAAATGTGGCATGGTGGCCAAATTTTAAAAATGACACTAAGAAATATTGTGAATCATGTGAAAGATGCCAGAAAGCCAATAAGGCAACAGGAAAAAGATATGGACTACTACAAGAAATTGAAGAGCCCAAAGAAAGATGGTGTGTAATTAGTATGGACTTTGTTACTGGATTACCACCTGGAGGATTCAATAACTTCAATGCTGTACTAGTAGTAGTAGATAGATTTTCCAAGAGAGCAAGATTTCTCCCTTGCCATAAAGAAGACACTGCCATGGACACGGCCTTACTATTCTGGAACTCTATCATTTATGATGTAGGCTGTCCTAGATATATTATTACAGACAGAGACCCCAAATTTACATCAGAATTCTGGAGAAATTTATATGATTTGTGTTGTACACAATTAAAATTTTCCACTGCTTACCACCCACAAACTGATGGTCTAGCTGAAAGAATGATACAAACTCTAGAAGATATGATCAGGAGATACTGTGCTTTTGGATTGCACTTTAAAGACAATGACAGTTACACTCATGATTGGGTTTCACTTCTTCCGGCTCTGGAGTTTGCATATAATTCTAACAAGCATAGTACCACCAATAAGACTCCATTTGAATTGGAAAGAGGATGGATCCCCTGGTTCCCAAGAGATGTACTATTAAATAAATCTGTACACATTCATCCCAGTGCCACAGATTTCCATTTCATGATGACTAAAGCAGAGAAATATGCCTCTGAATGTGTTAAACAAGCCGTAGATTATAATAAATCTAGATGGAATAAAACTCACAAAGCCCACAAATTCCAAATTGGTGACCAAGTGTTAGTATCCAAACTCAATTTTACCAATTTATCTGGACCAAGGAAATTACATGATTCTTATGTAGGACCTTTTACTATTAAACAATTACACGGAAAAAATGTGGTAGAAGTTATTCTCACAGGAGAATTTGATAAGAAACACCCTACATTTCCTGTTAGTTTAATTAAACCTTATGTAATGAATGACAATGAGAAATTTCCACTAAGGAAAGACAATGTGAGAGTAGTAATTCCTCCACTAGAGGAAGAAATAGTAAGAATTAAGAAAATTATACAAAATAATACTGACATTAAACAATATCTGGTTAGATATAGTGTTAAAAGAAGATGTATGGCTACCTGTAGACAAGATACCTGACTCAGATAGACTCCTCAGACAATACAGAGTAGACAAGGGAAAATGATTTGAGGATCATTTCCTTTTTTAGGGGGAGGAAGTGTCAGCCACAGAGCACCTTTCACAGTACGTGAAATGTACCTAGTAACTGCAAATAATAATATCAAATTGAATACAGGAAAATATTGTATATTGTTGTTAAAATAATAAATAAATAAATATGTATTTACATTTAATCTTAATTCATAATTTATATTTATTAATTCTATAATTAACTGTGAAATCCCCTTGAGTATTGTACATATACTATCACTAGGATTTCACAGAAATAGCTTTAGAGTAAGGTATTAAAACAATATTTATTCTTATACATTATGTACATATTTTATAATACATAAATTAATAACATATGTATAAGAATCAGCTAGTAGAAGCGTGGAATGGATGAGGAATAAGCTATATAAATTTATCTGAAGCTTACCCATCCTTGATCACATCATCAGGGTATCAGATTGCATCATAAACCTCTTGGATGGTGTCATCAGGACCCTTTTGTGCTCTAATTCAAAGCTTGCATAATTCAAAGTAGCCTACAAGGGAAAGGAGCCCAAATTCTGCATACAAGACTGAATTATGCATGAAGCACATGCATTTCTCATGATCACAAGCTTGCATAAGCAGAGTTACACGTATGCAACTAACTCTACAATTGCACAGTCCCTGCACAGTAACTGCAGCCTTTTCAATTATGTGAGAAATAGGCCACAAAACTCAATTATGCATGTATGATCTCATGTCCTAGGGCCTTACATCCATGCATAGCACTGCACAGCTGCAGCTCCCATCCTTACACGAAATTGTAGAGCTTCTAAGAAGCTCCTCCCCTGAGCCCCCTGTAGAATATTTAAGGAGCCCTGATTCCAACCTTTTCCCCCCAGGAAATTCTAGTAGCATCAAACCAACACTTGTACAGTGGGTAGACAGTGGAAAGTGGCAGCTTATTTTGAATTCCAGAGCTCTGAAACACAAACTTGAAGTCATGAGAATTGGTCAGGTGGTGCATAATAGCTCCCAAAAAATGAATATGAAATAATAAACCAAAAAATAAAGTTTGAAAATTTGTGAAAAATAAAAAATAAACTCAATTTTTTTCAAAAGCTTTGATATTCATTTTGGGGGAGTGGGAGTGCTGAGAGAAAGAAAGAATGGAACGTGAGAAGAATGATTATAAATGAAAATAATTGGAACCAAAAAAGGGTTAGCCAAATACATATATATTCTTCATGATTCAAAGTAATATTCTAGTGCCTTGCTGCAATGTGGTCAGGGGAATGCCGCACTCAGCAGCTGCTTGAAGGCATCTGAAAACCATTTTTTCCAAAATTTTCATTTATAATCATTCTTCTCATTTCCCAATCTTTCTTTCTCTCAGCACTCCCACTCCCCCAAAATGAATATCAAAGCTTTTGAAAAAAATCAATTTTATTTTTTATTTTTCACAAATTTTGGAACTTAATTTTTTGCTTTTATTATTTCATATTCATTTTTTGGGACCTATTATGCACCTACTGCTGGAAGTGGATGTTGTCAGTGGGTAACACACCACTGGATGGGACTGGTGCTTTAATTCTGAGCTTCACAGCAGACACTGAAAAAGCTCAAGCAGTTTCTGTTTATTCTTTGAACATCAGGACATGGAGGTCTTGACATAAAAAATTGAATTGTCCATCCTGCTCCAGTACAACACAGGGTTTGCCGGGATACCCCACGGGGTATGTAGCAGGACGCGCCCCTACAGACACCGGGCGGCTGGGTACAGTCTGTATACGACAGAGGCCAGTCAAGTAACCGAGCATAACAGGCACAAGCACAACATGGCCGAACACGCGACATCGGCAACAGCAGCGGAAATGAAGATATCTGTTTGTGCGTACCAGACCACGTTAACGATTCCTGATCGGCCCAGCTTGCCGGACTTCTTGTTCCATTTTACTCGTCTCACTCAGTCAATGATGATCTGGATCGGCACCGTTTCAAATTCAAGTGATCATTCGGCCGGCCATTGTGCAGTTGATACCTGCTTGGCCAAAGATTGGTCTTGTGCTGTTCCTCCTTCAACAGTTGAGTAGCTTTTCTTGTTATAATACGAACTCTCTTTTACGTTTAGATACTGAAATCTTCCTCTCTTTTTGTTTTGGCTTTGTTGCGTGCGACCATGATCAGTCTTTCCCGGCAATCTCAACTCGCTTGAATTCGTCTAATCCGACAGACGGATTCAGTCAAGCATTGGCCCAAAAAATAGGTCAGAGGTCGTCACCCAGTCATCATCTCCTCTGCAATCGTCTTCGTTTACGATCAAAGTGGAAAAACAAGGCAATAACTCGGAAAATAATGCGTGTCTGTTTTGCTTTGCTGATGATTGACTATCTAGCTCAAAAGTTCAGAATACAAGCGTTTGTCTCAATCGATCTTCCCGCTTCACTCCTCGGATCGGATTCGCAGATCAAATTCGCCCTCGAAAAACAGCTTTTTGGTCATATTCAATCCTTATTATCAACAAAGACTTCACAGGAGCCTAAAGAGAAAACTTGTTGACCACTGCATGAGTTTATCATCTCCTATAACACAATTAATCCGCGTGCAAATGTCAGCCCTGTGGGGTAATCGCATGAATTGAGGTGGACAAACGAACGGTTTTCAATGAGCATGCTCATCATCACTGGGATGATTGCCAATGTAATCTGTTGTACCAGTTGATGAGGTTAATAAATAAATTCATGGTCTGGTTGTGGAATGCTTAAAATCAGATATAAGGGTTATATTAAAAGACTCGATAAATTAGCATAATTGTCTATTCTTGCATTTTGCACCTGTCAAAATGTTGAACCAAGTCAAAGGGCCTCAACAAGATCAGAAACCAAGGCGTCTTGAGGAGCGGGCGATTCGGCTGAGGCTTGTATTTCGGACACTGGTAAAGCGTCCACGACGTCCACAGTATGCTGGACCATGTGCATGCTGCCATTGGCCGGTTGATTAAGCAAGGTGTCGGCTGTCTGGAAGATGAGTGCTGCCGCAGCGGCTCCGATCCTTGCGATTAGTTGCAACTGATACAGACTGTCGAGTGGTACCTGACCAAGTCTCATGATTTCAAATTTGTGTTTTGAAGCTCTGGAATCCAAAATAAGCAGCCACTTTTCACTGTCTAGGCACTGTACCGTGATTATTAGTGATTCAAACCACCAATAACATTACAACTCAGCTACCTTAGACCTAAATAGATTTACTTTGCTCAGATTCAAGGCATTTCTACTTATCTCTACTGCATAAAGAATTATCCCCCTGGTTAAAAAATTCTGGTCCTTAAGTGTACATGCACTTATTCATCTGGATTTTTGTTAAAAGACTTGATCCCAAGTGAGTAGAAGAAATCGTCACATTGGAAGCCTATTAATCCAAGTAACAGGATTGATCTGGATGCCCAATTGAAAAATTGGATGAGTCAGCAGTAGAAGTAGCATTCCTCACTGACTCCTCCCTGTTTCTTTCACAGGTTGAGGGATTTTTAACACGAATGAACCATCACTTTACACTTCTTGTTAACACTCATAGTTGTGCCCACTCAGGTTAGTAGCATAGAGGCTGACATAGTGGGTGTTGGTAGAGCCTAGAGGCTGTGAATATATTAAAGGCAAAAAAAATGAAGAATGAAAAAAACTGATAGAGATGAAATTAACCTTTGACACTTGAGGTCAAAGCCACAGGTGTTTTTTTGGCCTTGGCTGCTAGAAATTCTGCTTGAGTAGCAGAGATTATGTCCTGGGCCATTGGGATTTTTCCCTTGAGTGATCCACTGGTGTGAACTTACACATCTCCCAATTGTTTTGGCAGCTAAGTTACCTCAATCTTCCCCGCAAATGTCAGCTGTGGCCAAAAAAACATTGCTCCACATTCGCAGACGTTGCACTTGTAGCCAGGTAGTCTTGTGCAAGTAGCGCCACCACTTGGAATTATGTTGAATATTGCTGTATTGCATAGAAAAAAAAATGATCAGATGAAAAATTCAGATCTTGAGATATGAAAAGAATGAACCCACCTTCCATCAAGTTAAGTAGTCAGCAGCCTATGAAGAGGGCAGCCAATACCTACCCCCAAGGTACGCTGCCAGTTTGTCGTAGGTCTCTGGTGCAGCATCCAAAAAGAAATTGACATCTTCAAGTCCACCACCTGGGGCTAGGGTTGTGTTCTTTTTTGGGTGGCGGGGTGTCTTCATCTCTTGCAGCCTGTTAATTCAGTGCCTGTTTGCGTTTCTGGACTTTGCCTTCAAGTGGATTGACTGCTGGATCATCAGAAGTCAGTACCTGGGGTTGAGTGCTGTTGTGAGGAGAATGGCATCACATTGAAAAGCCATGTTGACGTAGGTATTGATTTTTTTGAGCATGATGTTGATCATGCTCTTGAATTTGACCTCAATGATGGTGCTGAGCTTGCCCTCTACATATTGTTGCAGGAGTCGGTATTTTGCAAGTACCATGGATGCCAATGGGATTTTGCCCTCCATCTTCTTAGTGACGTAATAAAATTCCTGATGATGATATATTGAAATAAGATCATGTGAAATAAAAACATGGATGATGGAGTGAAGAAGAAATAGCTTACATTGATGATGTCATTCAATTTCTTGAAAATCTCCCAGTCACTGTGTGTGATTTTGTATTTGTTGAAGTGGTTCTTGCCTCCCTCATGATCTTTTCTGTCTTGCTTGTTCCCAATTAGTTTGTTGATGACATTATATGCAATATACCCCCACTTGCGGCTCTCAAACTTGATATTCCATTGTATACCGTACCCTGCAATGAGAGTGGGCCCTGTGTGGTCAAGTTTTTTGGCCCATGTGTTGAACTCAGCTTGCTTGGCCAATGAGGAAGTGATTTTTTGTATCACATAATTGACCTAGTTGAACAGTATAGACCATGGTCAGGGGGGAATATAACCAGAAAAATCTAGGTAATAACTGAACTTCTTCAATACCCTCTCAATAACATTGGCCTCACAATTTTCTGGTCCTTCTTCATCACTGCCCTTGGAGTCTGAATTGTCAACAAATCCATCAGTATTGAAGGGGTTGGCCATTGGGTCCACATGGCCTAATGTCTCTGACTTGGATGATTCCTCGGATATGGCACAAAGCCCGGGTACAAAACCCAAAACAGGACCGGTGGGGATTTGATTGGGTTGGGGTACCAAGATTGATTTGAGGCCGGCATTGAGGATGAGGGCAAGATTGTGACAGAAGCACCAAATGTGATGCTGGGTGATTGAGATGTCCTTATTGTGATTTGCATCCTTCTTGAGAGATTGGTCTACTTCAACCTCCATCATGAGGTTATTCAATCCTGAGTCAGTAGTTTGGGCTATGATGTAAATACATGAACCCAATGAATTTCTGATTAGCTGCTATATCATTCAAAGTTTGATACATAATAATAAAAAGACTTATCTTATTGTTCAAGAGGGACTTGATGAGGATGTTGGCCAATTGAATGGCCATATATTTTCCCTTATGTGTCCAAGAAATATACTTAACCAACAGATGACTGAACTTGAACGTCCGACTGATGCATTTTGGTTCCCCTTAGTAGTACATACATTGTGGATAAGGCTGATCTTTGAGGGATTTGACGGTGAAAGGAATTGCAGAGGAGAGGAGAAATCAGCCAACTAATTGCATGATCATGAGGACTGAAAAAAAAACTTACTTGGAGTGTACCCAACACCTTACTCTGCAAGTGGCAGTACAGCCGATGGGCCTCAGTGGTGGCCCAGATGCAGGTGTACGGCTTGGCAACATGACAAAGATATTGGAAAGCTATACCTAAAATGAAATCCTCTATTTGAACCCACTACAACGAGTGTTGAATTATCCACAGGACAAGGAGCTGGTTGAATGTGTTGTTGTTGAAATTGTTGCCGTCAACCATTTTTTGCATTGAAACCTCCTCGGGTTGGTTGCTCTGGGTGTTTTTTTTTTCCTTCACAGTCATTGGCAGTTTAACCCCAGCTGCAATTGTCTTGGCTTGTCCTGGGAACGGCTCTTGGTTCAGATTACCATCTCAATGTTTGAACAGATTTGCCCAAGTCCCGACACTTTTTCAATATGGGACATCACACCATTTTCATGTGTAAGGTTCAGTCTAAAAAACATAACAAAACTCAAACCATGTCACTTGATAAAACAAAGAGATCAAAATTCAGAGTAACATGTAGAACAGACTTACATTGCCTTCTCCACACACAGGTGGATGAAAATAATCCTTAACATCTTGATACTCAGAATCCTTTGCTTTGGTCTTCTTTTTGTGAAGCTTGAATGGGCCGTTCACATTGTTGGAATCCTGAGTAATATCAATGATCCTTGCCTTCCCGTGTGTTTCAGTGTTGGATAGAGAAGATAAATTGTCATTTTCTGAATTGGACTCAGAATTGGATCCCTTGCTGGATTCTATTGCACTGTACTCTTGCTATTGGGTTTCTTGTGCTTTTGAGAGACCTTGGCCTTCTTGGGCTTGGGGGCAGCATGTGTTGAGGTAGAAGCTGAAGGGGACAATGCCCTTTTAGGTCATTTGCAAGTCTGTTTTGAATTGGTTTGGATGGCTGAGGATGGGAGCAGGGCCTTGCAAGAATTGTTGCTAGGCCTGACAAAATTGGGATTGCTCTGGAACAAAGTTGTTCTCCTGGTTGATTGTCAAGACAGTGGGTGAGACACTGATGGGGTAGCTGGGGGAGGCGTGTTGGCCTGAGACCTGGAAGCAGGGGTTGAGGAGGGGGCCATGATCAAATAGAGATTGAGAAACCAATGTTTTTGGCAGTGTTGTCCTTGTTGAAGTCTTTGAATCACTAATCAATGTCTGAAAAAAAGGTCCAATGATATGCTAGTTGAAATAGAATTATCATTTGAATGAATGATTAAAAACAGTAATGATCCAGTAAATAAAAGAATCAATACTCCCCTGACACTAGAGAAAAAGCTAAACAAATGGTAAAAAACAATGTCAGTGGTGAAGAAACAAAAATAAATTAAATATAAAAAAAGAAGAAAAAATCAATACTCACCTGACACTACACTGCCTCATCTAACTTCTTGGACTGGCCAGCCTGACAAATCCTTGGACTGTCCTGCCCAAGCATTTCTTGTCCGACAAGTCGTTGAGCTGGCTTGTACAATGTGGAACTTTTCAAGCAAAAGAAAAGAGCTTAGAGGGGAAAATAACAACTACACAGGGAAAAATGTGAGTTGAAGACCTGGATGCTGATGAAGCTGCCCTCTTGTCAACGCTGTAACAGATACAATACACTGTGTGTATCATGGAGAATTCTGCAAAGCTGCATGGCCAAAAACCAAATTTGTTGAATCTCCTTGCAAATAAAAGCAGATTGGTGGTGCGCCTGCCCACCTACATTGAGGCAAGTCACATGCAGGCAAGCCAAGGCAGTAGATATGAGTGAGCTTCCACGTTCCCTTAGACTGGTATTCAGAGCCTGTACGCTGGGTAAAGCCAACATTTCCAAAGTTGGTGACCTTGATCCCACTTGGTTTGACAAAGATAGTGTTGCTGTTTGGGAGTAGAGGATAGCCTTCCGCGTCCAACGTGCAACCATGATTGATGAAGGTCTTCTCATTCATGGTGGGCAAAAAGAACGTCTTGTTTTTATTTTCTGAAGGAATCATCAGTGTTGTCTTGGCAGTTGTTGTGGGCTTCCCAGAAGATAACCTGGTGGAGTTCAAGATCACTGGGGTTTTGATATCTTTGCAATAAGAGAATTCAGAGGAGTAATCCACACTGGTATTGTCCTCATTGGAGGAATGGAGGAAACTCATGATTGATGGACAGTCTGTGTGCTCCGAGGCGGGAAGGGTGAGGGAGATGGTGATGGCCAATCAGGTGCAAAAATATACTGAAAGCCTAGGAAAATTCTTGCTCATGCCTGCTACATGTATTTGTCCTAACCATTTTTTGCAATGGGTTAAGCCTTGGAGGTTTCATACCCTGTATTTTTCAGTAAATACAGGATGACCCATTCTTTTGTGGTGATGGGTTACCAGGTGTGAAAATATAGCTGAGTAACGTAAGTTTCTTGCACCAGGTTTGGGGGGAGTCATTTTCCAAGGGTTTATTTGCAAGGCTCCTAATTACATTGGCACCCTTGTGAAATTCATCCCGCCTGGAATTCTCACCATTATTGCAAGACATTGAAATTACAAGGCTTATCCACTGTAAAAGCTGACTTGTAAAATTCTCATACCCCATTTTATAATCCATAAACTAATTACATATGTATATGTAAGAAACAGCTAGTAGAAGCGTGAAATGGTTGAGGAATAAGCTATATAAACTGATCTGAAGCTTACACATCCTTGATCACATCATCAGGGCCTTAGATTGCATCATAAAACTCTTGGATGGCATCATCAGGACCCTTTTGTGCTCCAATTCAAAGCATGCATAGTTCAAAGTGGCCTACATGGGAAATGAGCCCAATTTCTCTATGCAAGACTGAATTATGCATGATGTACATGCATTTCTCGTGAACTCAAGCTTACATAAGCAGAGATACATGCAGCGGTGGGCCGCTACGCTACACTACGCTACGGGCCCATGTAGCGTTAGCGTAGCGGCACCAATTTTTTTTTTTCGTGTAGTGTTAGCGCGCCGCTACGGCCGCTGCGCTACGCTAACTTGTAGCGGCGCTAACACTAGCCATTTTTTGGTGTAGTGTTAGCGCCCCGCTGGCGCCGCTACGCTACAGCGTTTTTAGCGGCAAAAAACGCCAAAAAACCGCTAAAAACTGCTGTAGCGCAGCGTAGCGGGCAGTTTTTTGCGCCCTGTGCCCGTAGCGTTAGCGCAGATGGGGAGAATTGCGCTAACGCCACGCTGAACGTTAGCGCATTGTTTTGCCCTGTGCGCGTAGCGTTAGCGCTGAAAATGAAAAAAGCGCTAACACTACGCTACATTGTAGCGATTTTTTGCTACACTACGCTACGCTAACGCTACAGTTAGCGAAGCTGGCCCACCGTTGATACATGTATGAACCAAATATAGTTGATTTCAGGTTGAGGAGATGATCAATGACTAATATCTGAAAGAGGGAAAGAAAAGCAAGCTTATGAGGATATAGATCACTCATAAACTGTTGGTCAATGCTACTTCTGCTGGAATATAGGATCTCTACCTTGCCTCCAAATTTCCCAATCATCCATTGATCCATCCAATGATCACTTCACAAAGTGCCACAAATTGTGTTGTTGATATATACCTTGAGCTCTTTCTTTTCTTCAGTTGATTTTGCAGGTGCACTAAACATTGCAAAAATGCTATCCTCATTGACCAGTGTGGTGGTCCAGGCTGTTGTGCGCAAAAAAACTGCCAAAACCCCTACCTTATAACCCAAACCACTTACATATACAAACATATTATTGCAAAATCAGAATCTACATACAATTTTACCCACAGTCACTCACTACACCTATACCTCTATCTCTATTAGTTTGGAAGATAATCCAATATAAAGGTTAAAGCCATACCATACCTAGTCATTAATTAGTATTTAATAGTAATTTGCCACATATATATGTACATACACATAAAAGGCCTCCACAAGTAGTGCAGATCAGTTATGCAACTCTTGCATGCATATGTGCAACAATTAGGCCTCCACTTAGTGACACAATTAAATTTATGCAGACTTTGCATAAATGCATGGGGACAGAAAACCTCCACCAGGCAGTGCAACCAGTTTATGCAATCCTTACATACAGTAGTACCATATTTAGTTAAATTCCACAGCATAATTAGCTCAGTGCATGTACTCTTTGCAGGAGGCAGTGCAACCCACAAGTTCAACACCAGCAAAATCACCTCAACTGCATTGCCACCAGCAAAAATAACTCAGAAAAGAATACATAAGGAGGCCCACCTTCACCAATTCCTCCCATCATCACCCAGCCAGTTCATACCCAACTAGCTGAGTGGTCATCACCATCATCACTCAGCAGCCCAGCTCCCATCCAGCTAGCTCAGTGGTCATCAACATTAAGGTCTAGTCAACACCAGTAACAACAACAACAACAACACCAACACCAACATCAACATCTACAACAGCAACCAACAGTTTCACTACTTATCCAGAATCGCCATAAAAACCATAAACCCCATAAAATATTCCACTTGGATTGTTTTCACACTCATATTCACCGTGTAAAGGTTGTACAACTATCTTGTATTGTATTACATACTGATCTAGGTCTGATAGAGACTACTACATATAAGTTTTCTCCATCATAAAGTTATGCCAGAACAATAAAATAAAATTTTTGTCAG